CTGGGACTACTTCACTCTACGGAAAAACTTAAAGATAATAATTCAAAGAGAATGAAGTAAGATAACACAACAGGAGGTGGAAATGAAGATGGCAGAGCTAGAGAAACACACAGAAGCCTTTGCTGATCACCCAATCCAAAGTAACCCACCATTCTCTCCCCTACAATCTCCCCTCTTCCCTTGTATCATTATCTTTCTAGTATCTCCACTCTTTTATTTGCTGCCTGTTCACATTATGCTACACTAGAACATAAGCTCTATCAGAGCAGTTACCTTGTTCATCCAGCCCCAAACAGTACCTTCAGTGACTAGAATAGGTCTGGCATATGGCAGACTCTTTAAAAATATTTGCTAAGGGAATAAACAGAAGAAAACTGAGAGATCAAAGCAATTAAAGATGGTAGATGAGAACAGACAGAAATGATCCAACAGCCCTGGTGGGTGTGACTCAGTTGGTTGAGTGTTTGCAGGTGCACCCGAAGGGTTGCTAATTCAATTCCCAGTCAGGGTATGTGCCTGGGTTGTGAACTTGATCCCACATAGGGGGCAGCCAATTGATGTTTCTCTCTTTCTCTCTCTTTCTCTCTTCCTCTCTCTAAAAATTCGATTTAAAAAATCTTTAAAAAAAAACAATGATCCAACAGAGATACTAATACCTCAGAATGAGAGAAACCAAAAAATATAACATAAATAACTTAAAAAATGTAACAGAAGACAACTTACCTGATTCAAAGAAAAACCTGCACCAGCATATTAGAGAGGCACACAGTTTCCAGAAAAATCAATAAAGAAAGATAAACATAAAGACATTCTGATTATGGTATTTTAAAACATCGAGAATAATTTTTAAATGTTTTGTCCAGGGAGAAAAATGATTCACTCAATTACATGGAGGTTAAGTAAGCCAGGCCTCAGATTTTTCTTATATTTTTCAGTATAAGAAAATATTGAGGTAATATCTTCTAAATGATAAGAAAAACTGTAACCGAAGATTATCCTAGCCTAGTCGTCATTCAAGAATAAAGTCAATAGGCTCATATTCTTAAATATGACAGAGCCAAAGGAAACTAACACCTACAAGTTTCTGGGTTTTTTTAATCACCCAACAATGAAACTGAGCCAACCATCCAGGAGGTGAAAGGAAAAGCTGTAATAGAAAGACTGAATCAATATTTTAAAATACTGTAGCTGAAAGATGGAACAACTAGTCAGAAATATCATTCAAAAGGTAGCTGTCTGCCCAGCCAATGTGGCTCAGTGGATTGAGCATTGCCCCATGGACTGAGAGGTCCTGGTTTGATTCCCAGTTTGATTCCCGGTCAGGGTACATGCCTGGTTTACAGGCTCGATCCCCAGTGAGGGGGCATGCAGAAGGCAGCCAACCCATTGATGTTTCTCTCTCACATCGGTGTTTCTCTCTCTCTCTCCCTTCCTCTCTCTCTAAAAAAAATCAATAAAAAAATATTTTTAAAAAAGGTAACTCATAAATCTTGACAACAAAAATAATACTGGAACAAACAAAACTCAGGTGATAGAAAGGGAAGAAAGAAAAGGGAATATAAGAGTATTTCAATTCATTTCTAAACAGCCTATAGTCAATGAACAGGTTTAAGTGTATTACTTAAAATAACTAAAATAAAACTATGACAAAAGGAAGACAAAGAACCAAATTAAAAAATGGGCAGAGGAGATGAATATACACCTCTCCAAACAGGACATACAAATGGCCAAGGGACATATGAAGAAATGTTCAACATCACTAATTGTGGGAGACATTTTGCATGGCGTCAATTTTGTTATGATCTGCTCTGCCATCACCTGCCCCAAAGCAGGATATCTCTGCATTCTGCATTTCTTTATCTCTGTATTTTGCATTTCTTTAAGTAACCATTTACTCATCAGCCAGTCTTTGCTGACCTTTTGTTCCTTTTGTAGTATTTCCTAGAATTGCTTTGGGCAAGCCTGGTACTTGGCAACAGGTGCTTCTTGCCCTATATATTGTGTGAATTACCCCTGAATAAACGAGACTTGATCAGAATCCTGTCTTGTCTCCATTTCTCGTGTCTCTTGTCCCTCCTCATCCTCACTCCCCCTCTAGAGTCCTCGTTGCTCGACCTGCGGGACGGGTCAACTAATCATCAGAGAGATTCAAATTAAAACAACAATGAGGTATCACCTCACACATGTCAGAATGGCCGCCATCAACAAATCATCAAACAAGCGTTGGTGAGGGTGTGGAGAAAAGGGGACTCTAGTACACTGCTGGTGGGAATGCAGACTGGTGCAGCCACTATGGAAAACAATATGGTGTTACCTCAAAAAATTAAAAATTGAACTTCCATTTGACTCAGTGATCCCACTGCTGGGAATATACCCTAAGAAGCCTGAAACACCAATCAGAAAGAATATATGCATCCCCATGTTCGTAGCAGCACTATTTCCATTAGCTAAGATCCGGAAACAACCCAAGTGGCCATCAGTAGACAAATAGATAAAAAAGCTGTGGTACATATACATAATGGAGTACTATGCAGCTGTAAGAAAAAAAGATCTCTTATCCTTTGAGACGACATGGAGGGACCTGGCAAGTATTATCCTAAGTGAAACAAGCCAAGCAGAAAAAGACAAATACCACATGATATCACTTATTTATGGAATATAATGAACATAACAGTCTGAGGAATAGGGTAGACCCAGAAACATGGAAGTAGGGTACAGACTGACAACCCTCAGAAGAGGAGGTGGTGAGGGGAGGGAAGAGATAGACCACAGAACTTATGTGCACGTACGCATAGCCAATGAACATGGACAACGGGGACGGGGCGGGAGGGAAGGGATGGGGAGGAGGGCATCAATGGGGTAAAAAAGGAGAAACATCTGTAAAAAATAAATAAAACTAAAAAAAAAAAAGTCCTTGGGTGAGGATTAAAAATCAATCAATCAATCAAATAATAAAGAAAAATAAATAAATAAAAGAAATTAAAAAAATAAAACTATGCAGTTGAGTTTTGGGGAAGTCAAAAGTTATACACAGAGTTTTGACTATGTGGGGGGTGAGCACCCCTAACCCCCAGGTTGTTCAAAGATCATCTGTATAATCAACAAAAATCCAGAGGTGGAAGCAGGAAGAAAAGATGAGAGAAACCCTAAGTGCTAACTTTACCATCTCCATGGCAGGAAATCAACAGATACTAACTACATTTCCTAATACACGAAAGAAGGTATGAACCAAACTTTTAATAAAGATAAATACTAGAAAAACTAAAAGTAAATAATAAAACTTCCAAACTGAAAAAGGGAAAGTATTTATGTGTATGTACGTGCAAAGAAAAAGAATCTAGATAGCAAAACAGAGACAATATAAAAAAATAAGGGGAGCCCTGGCCGGTTTGGCTCAGCAGTTAGAGCGTTGGCCTGCAGTCCAGAGAGACCCAGGTTCAGTTCCCGCTAAGGGCACGTACCTCGGTTGCAGTTTGTCCCCAGCCCTGGTTGGTCATGCGGGTGGCAGCCACTCGATGTGTCCCTTTCACGTCGATGTTTCTCTCTCTCTCTCTTCCTCTCTCTCCCTCCCAGTCTAGCTGAATAAAAAATGGAGAAATGGCCTCGGGTGAGGGGAAAAAAAAAAATAGGGGGAAAAACATAATTAAGGCCAAATATATCTGATATCAATAGTTAAGCGAGACAAATGTAACCATTGCAAGAACAGACTCACAGTTTCAGTCAAGTAACAGGTTACATTTCCCAATGATGGTAGCAACAATATCTCCTATTCCACATGCTTTTCTAGAACCTTCTTTAACCCTCTCCCCCCCAATCAAGGTTTGAAACCTAATTCCCATTCCCTTGAATATAAATACATAGCAAAGTGATGCTGTGACTAAGTCTAAGTTGTTATTATGGGCTGAATCATGTTCCCCAAATGTTCATATGTTGAAGCCCTAACCCCAGTATCCCTGAATGTGATTATATTTACAGACAGGGTCTTTAAAGAAGTAATTAAAATAAAATGAGATCACTAGGGTGGGCCCTAATCCGATATGACTGATGTCCTTATAAGTAGAAGAAGACAGGACACAGGCATGTACAGAGGGAAGGCCATGGGAAGATGCAGGGAGATGACCATCTGCAAGCCAAGGAATGAGGAAAAGAAACCAAGCCTACTGACAATACCTTATTCTGAGACCTCCAGGCTCCAGAATTGTAAAAAAAATAAATTTTTGCTGTTTTAAGCCTCCCTGTCTGTGGTAATTTGTTATGTTAGCCTGAGCAAACTCATAGTTGTAAAAGGTAATTCAGACTGACCTACCAAGTAAGCAGTCTAATTGCATGCGGCCACCAGGCAGGATCAAGGAAATCAAAGCTCTACTCTAACTGCCATGGGGCCACCGTGAGGAAGCCCAAGCCATGTGTTCAGAACACCTGGGAGGCCATGGACCTCATGAAGAGGAGATGCCACTCCAGCACTGATGCACTTGTCTGACTACGGCGACATAAGGTCCCAAACCAGATCTTCGAGACAAGCCCTTCCCAAGCTCATGAACCAGAGAAACTGTGAGAGATCATGAAATGACTGTTGACATTTTAAGCCATGACATTTTGGGAAGATTTACTATATAAGCAGTAGATAGCTAGAACAGGTTACCAACAAATATTTCCAAAAAGACAACTCTGCTAGTTCCAAATTAAAGTAAGCATGTTTGTTTGGAGTTTACTGAACGTCCTCATCCAGTAAGAAAATAATGTGAAAAATACAGTAACCTCTGTACCAGGTGGGTTAAATTAAAATTCTGCCAGGCACCTGGAGAACTGGTGCAACGGGGTTTTTACTAGGACTCTGCTCGCCAATGTTTAAAAGTAGATTTGGGAAACCAAACCTGGGAAATACACACTCAAGCTGCCTATTCAAAATAGGTCTCTAATGTTAACCTAGATGGTTGCTCACTATGATTATCCATCAGCCATCTTAATGAATCATTCAGCAGTCATGCACTGATACTCACCAGCCACTTCAGTCTGAAGGAGAAGAGAGCACTGAAGGCAAATATCACCCACAGCACTGGACAGGCAACAAGTCCTAACCAGAAGATCCTTGATTCAGCCTCTGAAACAGTTTTGTTCTCTTGAGGAGCTGCCTATACAAGAACATGAATTCAATAACTAATGTTCTGTTATATTTAACAGTAAGAAGTTTAACATTTTTTATGAAAAACACCTTATCCTCAAATTCAAATAAATTAATACAGACAACCCAAGTCCTAAGTTAGAACCAACACTTCCTCTCCCACCAAAAAAAAGTCAGTAGATCTACCATTATTGTAAATTTAGGAACTGGTTTTAATATACTTTGTTTTAAATCAAGAGTTTTGCATTTTCAGGGCAGAGTAGACGGTTTAAGGATCATCTCTCATAGGCTTCTTGCATTTATACTGTTTATTCACAGGGAAGCTTTAAATGATACCTTCTTAGGTGAGGATCAAGCAAATCAAGGCTCTAGTCATCCTAAAAGGTCAAGTGGGATCCAGAGAAAAAATGGAATTGAAGGATTCTAGACAATGACCACATATCTCAGCAAACCCAGGAATTTAAAAGGGTGGTAAGTTGCTTATAGGGTAGATTTTATAATATCAAGGACTATGGGTTCACCGAACATGCTGCTGCTTTTTAAGAAATACTTGTCAAGACTGTTCCAAGCAGAAGGCAAGCAATTTCATTGGTACTGTCTCTAAGAATTTTGTCTTCTGCCGCCCAAACTGATTTCCACAGGGAAACAATGTTCCCTATAGATAAGCTGGGCAACCCAAAACAGACCAGGGTTCCCTAGGGCTCCTGAAGATCCAGCTCAAAGAATAGACTGTGCTGATCAATTCAGACTTTCTACCCAGTGATCCCTCTTTCTTTCCTGCGAACAAAGGAAAAGGACCATGGGGCAAGGGCAGAACAAGCATTAGAAGCAGCTATTCCAGGTCAGTAACAGACAGAAAGAGCCCCTTTGTCAGCGGCCCTAACAGGCAGCTTAGCACACTGCAGAAACTCTGACCCGAAGTCCGCTCTATTGTTTCTGGTCTGAACTAGTCAGCAAAATATTTTTAGTTTTAGAAGGCCATCTGGTTTAGCGTTGACATGCCAAATGATTTGGGATAGTATTTTAATCTTGAATACTTTATCCATAAATACTCAAATGTAATCTACACATAATTTATTAAATACTCAAAAATGGGGGAGGGAGGAGCTTACCTTCCTGGACTCAAAAACCCAATGGCTTTTTCCATCTTCATCAATATGATTCCACCAACGCAGGCCAACCATGAGTCTACCTGTGACATTCTGGCAAAGAGTAATATATACACATGCATTTTAAATACATTATTTAAAGATCTACCGTAAGGTCATATCTTAGTGTAACATTTCATAAACAAAATAGCATCAGCTTTCTCCATAACATTCACTTAAAGACAGTTACATACCAGGCCCGGACAAGATTAAACAAAACGGCAATGGCAGGATCAGCAAGGGTGGAGTGACAAAGTAAGCAAATCCATAAACATTACTTCCCCCTTTCCCTCATGAATTCTTGTTCTTTCTCCAGTTTACTAATGTGTTCTTGAACCCCTTGCTTTTTAGCTATGACCTATTCTTCCTAAATATCCACCTGTACCTACATATATTTTATAACTATCTATCTCTAGAAATGGTTGTTATGGACTAAATGTTTATGTCCATCAAAATGTATATGTTGGAACTCTATCCCCACCATGTGATATTAGGAAGTAATTAGCACTGGACTGGATGAGGTTATTAGGGTGGAGCCCTCATAAATTGGATTAGTGCCCGTCTAAGAATCGAGAGAGCTTTTGACCTCTCTCTGCTCTACCATGTAAGGATACCAGGAGAGGTCAGCACAGTCTGGAACCCAGAAGAAGGTCCTTACCAGAAGCCAATGATGCTGGTACCCTGACCTAAGATTTCCAGCCTTCAGACCTTAGAAAATATATTCCTGTAGTTTATAAGCCACCAGTCTAAAGTATTCTGTTATAGCAGCCCAAACTGACGAAGACAATGGTTACAGGTACAGGATTTCACTCAGTAACACAAATGTACCAAGTTCTTTTCCTCTTATTAACCTAACAAATTATTTTGACAGCTTTCCTAATGATTATTTACTCAAATATTTACTGAGCATATAATAAAATGGTGATAAGAGATACATTTCCTGTCTTCATGGAGCTTCAAGTGTTGTGGGGAAGAGAGGCAGTTAACCAATGCACATGTGTACCATTATCAAACATACTAAGTACTGTGAGGGAGTAGTGTGGGATGCCTTAAGAGTCTAACAGGAAAATATGATCTAGTTAGGAATCAGAAAATGTCTCTCCAAGTAATCAACATTTGGAATAAAATTTGAAAGATAAGCAGGAATCAATAACACAGGAGATTTTTAATTAGTGGTGTCCATTAGTAGATTCAGGAGTTCTGCGAACTTGGATGGAGAAAAATTGTATCTTTATTTTCATTAATTTCCGGCTAAAATTTAGTTTATCTTTAAATTATGAATGTAGACAGTTAATCACAGTAGAATTAACAGTACTTGTGGTTTTGTCACAATAAAAACCACAGATGTTTTTCATACTGTACTATACTTGTTGTAGATATCACAAAATACTACGTTCATCACTACTTTCAAAGTAATTAGACCTGCTACGAACCCTTGCTATTTAATGCATGAATAAAGTACATATCACTAAATCAGGAATTTGCCTTTTTAATGTTTTCATTACATTTCTTTTTTTTTTTTTTTATCCTCACCCGAGGATATTTTTCCATTTTTTGTACAGATAGAGTGGGAGGGAGAGAGAGGAAGGGAGAGAGAGAGAGAAACATCGACGTGAAGGGACACATCGAGTGGCTGCCACCCGCACGACCAACCAGGGCCGGGGACAAACTGCAACCGAGGTACGTGCCCTTAGCGGGAACCGAACCCGGGTCTCTCCGGACCGCAGGCCGATGCTCTAACCGCTGAGCCAAACCGGCCAGGGCTGTTTTCATTACATTTCAATATAAGTTACTTAATCTTAATGTATTTTTTGTTATGTATGTAAAAACACTATTCATAGCTTCATGAGACTGTCAAAAGAATCTAGATAGGAACAAAAAAGATTAGGAATCCCTGTGTTAAGGTAATGTACGAATGAGAACATTTCAGGTAGAAAAGCAGGCATGGGAGCCCTAAGGAAGAAAGTAAAATCTATGAATTTATGGGACTTGATGATTAACTGGATATGGGGTACAAAGAAAGCAACTCATATATTTTTGGTTTTCTCATGAAAAAATAGTGATTCAAGGCCCTGTGAAAGGGAACACTGGTGGAATAGCAGCATTTGTGGGCTGGAAGATGACAAGGCGTATTTTACACATGTTGAATTTGAGGTGCATTCAGATAGCCAAGTAAGAATGTCAAGAAGACAGATGGAGAGGTCTGGAGCTGGAGGAAAAACCTGGACTGGAAATACAGATCTGGGGGGTCAACCTGGCTTAGACATAAGCAACTGAAATCAGAAGCATAGATGATAGTGCTTAGGAAAGGAATATAGACAAGGAGGAACCTTAAAGACCAAAATTCATTTTGTAGAAATGCTAACTTTTAAGTGTAAGTTAAAAAGAGAAGCTGGCAAAGATGGAGACTAGCCAGAAGTCTATTTTACTGGCATTTTCAAGTAGTAGCTCTTAGAATATCTCATCCTCCATTTTCCCATTTTTCAATTCTTTACTTTCTGCTTTTATCAAATTAGTTTATTTTCCTAATTTCTCAAGCTTATTGTTTTTGTTTTTAAAACTTCTGGACCTCTGTCTAATTAATAAAAACCTTTAGTGTATTTTTTTTCCCTCTGAATTCAGCTTCAGACACATTTCAAAAGTTTGCATGTAGACGATCATTGTCATTAGGCAAAAATGATCTATGATTTACAGTTTTGTTTTCTTTTTGAGCCAAGATATTTAGCAGTTGGCTCGTCTGAAAATTCCAGTTTTGACTACCATTTTTTAATTTCTAGTTTTGTTGCACTGGGCTAGAAAACGTAGCTGCTTTGAGCAATTTATTTGGATTTTCTTCATACTGTTATTTGATTAATTTTTGTAAATGCTGCACAGGAACTGAACTCTTATTAGATTATTCCTGTATATAAAAAGTTCCAAATACTACTATTAAACTAACCTTGTTATGTCATTCAGATCCTTTAAACCTTATTTTGTCTTTCTTGCTTTGATTGGACAAAGGCAGTGAGTGGCTGGTTAGACTCCTATCACAATAACGCTCCCTCCACCTTCTCCCAGTGTTTCTAAGTTTATCACTAGACATAGTTTGGCAAATGTCATTCTGTGAATGAGCCTTACTGTGATTCATAAAATGACTTTTGTTCCATTGACTGCTATCTTACCCCCATTTCTATTTTGCCTAATAATATTATAATGCCAGGTTTATTTTTGTTTCAGTTGGTCTGATGCTATCTTTGCCTTTTGTACTTTCACTAATGTCACGATTTTAGTTAAAACTTTTTCATTTGACTTTTGATTTTTGACTCAATCTTAGAATTCTTATCTTTAAAAAGAAAGTTTAGTCAAATTACATTCACTGTATAACTAATTTGCTACTACTTCTATTACTGGTATGCCTTGGGATATTTAAGCTTCCTTGCCATGTGCTTTCTTTCCTTCCCTTACTTTATAAACTATGTTTTAGTTGCTCCTATCTTCTACAATGTTGTGAAAGACACAAAACTTATTTTAAACTTTACTAATAGTTACCATTAAAAATTTAAACCCATTATTTAACCTTTTTAAATCTGTCAGAGTAAGGGATAAAACAAAAGCACTGTATAGGCTATAACATTTAAATTCAAATTTTTTAAAAAATTATTTTATTTTTTTATCTTTTATCGTTTTAATGATTGTCTCTTTTTTTGACAACTGTATTTAGATGTATAATTATGACCCATCTCTGTTCTAACTGTTTGGAACACTGCCTACCCCCTTTTCCAAGTTCATCCAATAATTTCCCCATCTTGATTTTTAAATTGTGCTTCATATAGCAACTGTTCGCTGTAAATAATTTTGCCACAGATAAAGGGAGACATTTTTAAAGCCTTAATTATTAAAAACAAACAAACAAAATAGTTTATCATAAAATATACTTTGTGACCACATTTTTAAAAACCCTAAACCCAGAAGGATTTAATTCTAAGAATTTGGAAATTTCTGAAGGCCATGTTCTATCTGGCTAAACAGAAATTACATGAACAACAAAAAGAAACCTTCCTCAAAATAAAATTGTGACCAGGATACAGTAAACATTTGACGGCATAAAGCAACAAAGGAAATTCAAAGAAACTCAAGCCAAAGAAGAGTGTAGGAAAGAAAAGCCTAGAAAAAACTTCTGTAATCTTCATTTTCACCATTTTGTGGCTTATGGAAACTGGCAACCACCATGCCAACCGCTTCTGATTATCTGTAAGAATCAAAAGATCTAAAAACAGCTGCATGGTGGCTATGAATAGACTTATAAGATCTTACTGGTCTTTGAATCAACATATATGTCTCTGAAATTCCAAAGTTAGCTTTTGCATATTTTTCCCTTTGATGCTCCAACCACCATTTTACTATGAAAATTTCCAAGCACACAGAACACCTGTACACCTACCACTTAGAGTCTATAGTTAATATTTTAAAAGCTCCTTTATCATATGTCCATCTATCTATGTACCTATCTAACCATCCATCCCTCTACTCCTTGCCTTTGAGTATGAAACCATTTCTTACACTCTTTTCTATCTTCTACAATAGGGTTTCTGAACTTCAGCCCTACTGACATTTAGGCTAGATAAGTCTTTGTTGTGGGGAGATGTCCACTCTGTGCATCTTTTAAGATGTTTAGCAGCATCTTTGGCCTCTACCTACTAGATGTAAATAGCACACTTCCCCCACCTCAGTTGTGATAACCAAAAATGTCTTCAGACATTGAGCCATACATGCCCTGGGGGGAAAACTGGCTCTGGTTGAGAAATACTGCTCTAGAGACTTCACAAATGGTGGGTACTCCTTAAGTATCTGTGAAGAAATTATCCTGGGTTCTTATCTAGAAATCATACCCAGCACAGCTGGAGGTGACCCTGAAGCAAAACCAGTGAAGTGGATTAGAAAGCAGTGTGTAGGGCCTGTAGCTGCTAGTCACATTTATCTGTTTGATTTTAAAGCTGATGTATGCTGACATAAGGCACAGACAAGTGAATAGTGAAATAACTTACATGTAATCTGACATACCTGGCACATATATACCTGGCCTAAGGTAACAAAAAGATAAATTAACACCAATCCAAAATACTAAGTTTCATTTTTTTTTTTTACTGTTTATACATCATTCAATCTCATCACATTAATGGTTTCAAAATAAAAACAATCAGACCTACCTTGACTGTCCAAAAGTCACATGACAACAACAAGATAATTGTTACCATACAGGCGATAAAGCTGCTGCTGAACAATTCACAGAGAAGATAGACTACAATTGCACTGACTCGAAAGAATAAATGGAAAAATGATGCCACTGGATGTCTGAAAACCAAAATATAACAAAAGACATGCAATTACATTTTAGACAGATACTGCGGATGTAGATGAAAAATGCTTCAGCCATAGCATAACCATGCAGTTTGGTCAAAAATAAGAGAGATGACTTGAGAAAGAAGCAAACTATTATTTCTGCCTTTTTCTGAAGTCCCATTATTTGACTAAGCCCTGTTGTCACAGCAAATACACTATCTAAACAGGACTTTTAACACCTCATTGAATATAACTTTCACAAAATATGTAAGAAGAAACTTTACCAAGCTTGGAGAGTATGGAAACCATACTCTCAGGATTGAATCTTATTTTTTATGTCTGAAAATCAAGACAAAAGAATTTCTAGGTCCTTGGAAATCATTTCAAGCATTAAGATAAAGAAACCACAAGGAAGAGCTGTTGTTTTTAACAGCTTTATCGAGATATCCATATACCAACATGGATATCTCAACTATATAATTCCACCTATTTAAAGTATATAATTCAATGGATTTTTATACATTCATAAGACTGTACAACCATTACCACGTGAATTTTAGAATTTTTTCATTACTCCCCCAAAAACCTTTACCCACTGGCAGTAACCCTCATTTACCCCAATCCATCCCTTCTCCAGCCCTAGGCAACCAATAATGTAACTTTGTCTCTACAGATCTACTTGTTCTGGAGATTTCACATAAATGAAATTGTATGTGATCTTTTGTAACTGGCAAAAACTTTGTCTCAGTACAAAGTTTCTGAGGTTTAGGTAGAATTTGATTTCATTAAGTAAATTTCTTTAGAGAAAACTAAATTTAGAATAGAAATGTTTGGCTTGATATTTTCATGTTGGTTTATACAAAAGATGAAATTCTGATATTTGCACAATTAAATCAAAATGTCATAATGCATCTACAGAAACTATTTAAAAAAAACACACACTAGTGTCCACATAATTGGATTTGCAGATTTGAAAATTCAGTGTTGAGTAAAATTTCATATGCCAGTTATTCCCAAAGAAAACCTAAATGTCATTTTTGTCTCAGACTAAGGATTACGATAGTTATATACAATATTCACTAGGACATCACAACCACTCCACCTTGAATCTAACTGACACCAGTCTACAGACAGAACCACTGGACACTAACACGACTCTAAACAGTTATCCTCATACCTGATTTTGGATTTTTGGGGTCTATTAGCTGTTTCCTCTTCTGCATCAAACAGTGCAACATCTTCAGTGTCATCATTACTGCCCTAGTAAGAAAATTAAATAGCCATGAAGCAAAATGAATTCAGTATGTGCTTGCCAGCTACATGCAAGGCAGCACACTAGCCAAAATGGAAGACAAGATGAAGATATGGTCAAAGCCATCTGCGTTCACAACCTAGAAAAAGGGCATGCACAGTGCCTTCGCCCCCATCCAAATCGTCTGGCAAAACCCCGACGTGGTAACCGAAGTATCTGCTGTCTCCATCTCTACCCAAGCTGGGTCCTGTGAGAAAATGGTCCTGCAAGGTCAGAGACCACCGAGGCTACTGGGAGAAATTCAATATTTTTGTGTCTTTCACAGAATCATCTGATTTGTATTCTCGTTTCCCTGACTTCGTCCCACAACTTTCTCTTTTTATCCAAAGCAAAACCAACTATTGGTGTTCAGAATCACTTCTTTTCCTTCTTCCTCAAGAGTTTGTTCCATCAATTTCCCCTTTATTTACACTTTATAGTATCTTCAAAGCTTTCTACTGAATTTTTCTCATCAGCATATAAACTTATCCAGGTGTCCTTTATAAAGTGAAAAAGATTTTTTTAAAAACCCTTTATCCCGAATCTCTCCTTCTATCTTCTACTTTCCAAAGTGCTCCTTCCTTTCACAACTTGAGGCTTCTAAGAGTGGTGCACATGACAACACACTGCAATTCACCTTCAGCCTCACCCACAATACATTTGCACTTTACACCTTTACTAGTGCCAGGCACTAGTGAAATAGGGAGATCACCCAGGTAGCCACAATGATGTAACTGCAATGGTCCTTAAAGAAAAACACAGGCGGGTCAGAAAAGGTGATGAGACATGAAAGCAGAAATCACAAGATGAAAACCGAAAAGTTGCCACTGCATTTCCACTAGGCCATCGGGGCCTCCGTAACAGCAGTTTCAGTACAGCAGGGCCTAGAACAGTGCCTGGGCCATAGAATCCCTCCAATGAGAAGAAAAATACCGATGATAATCTAAGCGAAAGTGGCCCTTACAGTACATTTTTTAATAGGAAGAGATTATTAAATTAACCTCTGGTTGGAAATGTGTGGACTGTAATTAAACCCACTAAGAAGCATCCATTCAAATTTTGTTTGGCAAGTACACTGGAGCGGTGACACCGCCCCCAGGCCCGCCGCGCCCGGGGTCGGGCTACGCCCCCGCCCACTCCGCCCGGGCCGGACGGGCCGCAACGTCACCCACGGCGTTTCTGCAGCGCCCCGGGTTGGCGTGGACAACGCTCTTTCCACACGGGCGTCTGTTCCCGCGCGGCACCACCTGGGTCCCCCTCCGCCAGAGGCTTCGGAGCGCCCGGCCGCGCCCCCAGACAGCGGCCCTCCGCCCACCCGCTCCTCCTCGGACTCGGGCAGCAGGCCGGCATGCGGACACCTCGGTCCCGGGGCGCTGCACTCGCGCCCCACCCACCTTCCAGGCCGAGCCCCCGGGAACGGCCACCCGCACCCCGCGCCACAGCTCCTCACCTGCGGCAACATGGCAGCCCTGCGCCAGCCCCACTTCCGGGAGCCACGTCTGCGCCACAGTCGCGGGGCGGGGCCTGGAACAGACGCGTCTCGGTCACCAAAGGCCAGGAGAAGCCAAGTTACAGCCCAATCCTGCGCCCACTTCCGCTTCTAGGCGCCTCGCGGCGAGCAGATAAGGGGGCGGGGCTCCGGGAAGGAGCCAGAGCGTGGGCGGGGCGGGGCTCCCGGGAAGCATCCCGAGCGGGGGCGGGCGGGGGCGGGGCGAGCTGGGGGGCGGGGCGAGCTGGGGGCCGGGAGCGCTTGGTATGGGCAGCAAGCCGAGGGCCGTAAGTGGGGACTGGGGCTAGTGCTCATCCCGACCCAGCGTAAAACCAGCGGCAGAAGGATCCTCGTGCCGCCGTTAGCTTTAGGGGAAAGCTTCGTGGTTTGGCTCGTGGAGATGGTGTTGCTACGTAAGAGCTGTTATTCCCACCAGAACCGATGTCCTGATAGGGGGAAGGTTGCATTTTGCTTGAAAGGTTTACCCAATGTATTTTCCTGTACATCATCGTAATTGTAACGTAGAAGCAATTGAAAACAATGATGTGCTCCTGCGAAGTGGTAAAAAGTTATTCAGGAGAACAGAGCAGGAGGACTCTTGTGAACAGTGGAGGGTTTTATTATGGGAACAGACGCTGGGAAATATTAAGGAACAGAGAGGTTGAGAGCTGAGCCCTGGAGTTCGAGTTTCTGAGTTTGAGTCTGCTCCACGCCCCCCAACCCTTTCCTCTTACTAATGATCTAACTTCTGTGTACATCTTCAGTTGTAATGTGGGGATGACAGTGGCCTTGTACAGGATAAATACCTAGTAAATAGAAGATGGTATTAATGCTGTTTTGAGTTTAGCTGTTAATGGTGTGATCTTGCCCATGTGAAGGACCTGAAATTCAGGGACTGTAAGTCATCTTTGACACTACGTAATTATAACAACATCTGGATGGCCTAGGGGTCAAACTGCTATTGAAGGGTCATGGAATAATGTGTATTAGCACATTTCCTTAATTGAGAGGATTCTTTCTACTAAAATCACTATTTTTACGTGGCTATTTGCCAATGCTACTTTGAACCTAATAATGAGGGGGGGGGGGGAAAGTTTTTCAATTTGGCAAAGAATTGTATTCCTGCACTTGAAAGTGCAAGGTGGAAGCTGTGAACAGGTTACCTGTTCATCTAGACAGCCCATGCCATGTTTTTGGTGGCCCATCTGTAATAACTCCATTCTGACCCTCAGTTACTGCAGCACACACCCTGGCAGACTCTTGTAAACATAGTGCCTTGAGAAACCCAAAGAAAACTATAAAGATAAGGGGTTAATGATGGCCTCGGGAAACTCAGAGGAACCATGAGAAAAAAGAGATTAATGGTTGCCCTGACCTCTAACAAGCTCCTCTCTCCCCCTTATATGTATCAGCCCCCCTTAATGGTGCCAAAAGCAGCGCCAAGAGAATGTAGTTGTTTTTTTTTTTCTGTAGTTTGTTCCTTTAAAAGTGGGCAAAAAAGAAGGCAGGTTGCTGAGGATTTGGGGAAAGCCCCGCAGACCGCCAGTGTAATAAAGTGCTCCTTTACAATTCTGCTGTGCGTCACTGGTTATCTCGCTGATACCTTCCAACACATCCAAAGTGTAGGTTGTGGGGTTTTGTGGGATTGGGATTTTTGTTGGTTTTGTTTTGAATTTTGAATTCTATTTGAATTCATTACCATCTGTATTAGGAAATCTCAATTCAGTTCATCTCCTGTGTAGTGGGGGGGGGGGGGGTTCTTCCCTACTGTGTTTCTCTCCTGTGTGTGTTGTTTACTACTCACGTAAAATACTTCTTTTCTGGTCACCAAATATGTGGAGGTTTTTCTCCACACCAAGAGATTCTCTGCAACACCAGCTCTGTGTCCTACAATTTCATTAAATTCTGACATTATCTACCTGGAGATAGCATCAGATCACACATGTCAAGGGCTCAGTCCTACAAGACTCTCTCTCTTTCACACACACACATTCAGATGCCAGTCACAAGCGCAGATTATCACCTGTGCTTTTGACCAACCAGTTATAGATCACAGGTTCCAAGGACCTCTCCTCAGGTTCAATTAACTTGTAAGAACAGCTCACAGAACTCAGGAAAACACTTACATTTACCAGTTTATTAAAGGTCACAAATGGCCCTGGCCGGTTTGGCTCAGCGGTTAGAGCGTCGGCCCGCGGTCCAGAGAGACCCGGGTTCGGTTCCCGCTAAGGGCATGTACCTCGGTTGCAGTTTGTCCCCGGCTCTGGTCAGTCGTGCGGGTGGCAGCCACTCGATGTGTCCCTTCACGTCGATGTTTCTCTCTCTCTCTGTTCCTCTCTCCCCCTCCTACTCTACCTGAACAAAAAATGGAAAAATGTCCTCGGGTGAGGATAAAAACAAACAAACAAACAAACAAAAGGTCACAAATGAATAGCAAGATGAAGAGATACATAAGGTGAGGTCTGGAAGAAGTCCAAGTTCAGGAGCTTCTGTGGACTTGTGGTATGCCTCTGTCCCAGTATATGGATGTGTTCACCAACCTGGAAGCTCTCCAAATCCCCTTCTTTTGGCATTTTTATGGGGCTTCCTCATTCAGGCATGTTCAACCATTAACTCCATTTCCAGACACTCTTTCCTCTAAAGAATGGGGAGGTGGGCTGAAAATTCTAAATTTCTAACCATGGCTTGTTTTTTTTCTGGTGACCAGACCCCATCTGTGAGCCCACCCAGTCACCTCATTAGAACAAAAAATACTCCTAGTACTCTTATCACTTAGGAATTAAAAGGGTTCCAAGAGCTCTGTTTCAGGGACAGGAGTCAAAGACAAATATTAGAACAAAAGATTTTCCTACTGTTCTTATCACTTGGGAAATTACAATGGTTTCAGAAGCTCTGTGCCAGGAACTAGGGGCAGAGGCTAATATATATTTTCTATTACCTCACATCATCCTAAAGCCATGCTGAAGTAGTGAGTAGGAGCTCAGTACCTTTGGATGGGGCTTGAGCTCTCTAGTGGGCCACAGTCCTTGTGCTGGGTTGCACTCTCCTAAATTACCTGCCTGGACCCTGATATTGTTATCAGTGGAGAGAACTCCGTGTCTCCATATGTTGCTAGTGGGAGTGGACTTATTGCAACATCCCAAGAAAAGGAATTTTCTAAAACTTGAATGGGAGGATGAGATATTGTTGAAAGCTTTATTTCTGTGGAATTAAATCCCTGAGCTTCCAAGGTCCCACTTCCCCTTGTCCCACCAAGGAAGAAGTGTAGCTTTGGCTTCAGCAGAGCTATAATCAGAGCCATTGTCCAGAGATGTTGCTCCATACTGGAGCAGTGTCCAGTAGAGCATTAAACTGGATTAGTTTGTGTTTCCAATTATGGTCCATTAGTCCATTGCATGTGAGGTCTACCAGGCCACATGGCTATGAAGGAGACATAGGAGAATGCCTGGAAGCAGGACAAGAGAGCCATGAGCCAAGAGAGAGGGCTCCTTTGTCCCAAATTTTCATAGGCTTGCATTGGCCCCACCTCTTCTAGCCAGTGATTTCTGTTCCCAGGTTTGAGTGACAGCAAGCACCTTCCCTGTGTCATCCCAACATCACTGTGCATGTATCCATCCTCCCCTTTGTCCAGTCCCTTCCCCCAGTGATCTGCAGGGAATGGTAAATGGTTCCCTGGGAAGTGTGAAATTTCAGTTTCCTGATGAAGCTGCCCAAATGGCCTTGCTTATAATGTCTGGCCTGCCTTTTGCTCCTTTCCTATTATTAATAACTAGCTAATTACAACAGTATTAATACCATCCTCAGAAGGTATGAGTAGAAACCTCAACACACTCAATATTTATGATTCCCCTTTATAGAAAGGGTAAATAAGCTTAATTCTCTTTCATAGGAGTTAGTCCTAATAAGGTAAAGAACACATAACATTCTCAAGTGCAATAGGTCAACCCCATTGAAGGCTTCTCCTCTTGGATTCTTAACTGAACTCACTGAGCTTCACTGATGCAAAAATACCAAGGAACTCTAATACATTATTCTGACACAATCTCTTCTTTTTTTTTTTTTTTTTTTGCTATAAAAATGATAGCACTTAATTGATAGTGATGAGTGGTATTTAATTTACAATGATCACTTCCCCATCCCCCATCCATGAAATTGGGCTTCCACAGTCTCAGGAATGATTTTCAGTGAGAATACAAATACCAATCTCTCCCAGCCTCCCTCTGTTTTGTTACTTTGATAATATCACTTCTTTGGCTTATAGGAAGATAAACAGAAGTCCCCATTTTAATTGCCAAGGAACAGTAAAAAAAACAAAAAAGCAAGAAACCAAACACCAACATCTGCTTGGTTTCCTTTTTATTTCAAGACATTGTAATTTTCCAAGGCTGGTTTAGATAAATACGTTTGGACCAAGTTCAGGGGCTGCTGTTTTCCCTTGCTTCATGAAATTATCTATAGGCAGGCCTTTGATCTTCCTGATCCATGCAGCTTTGCTGGCTTTTTCTGGATCGACCACTCCAGTGGGCTTTCTAGCCTGATACTCTTTCATTTTGGCTTCTTTGTACTCTTTCTCCTCCCTCACAGTCAACAGCATGAATTCAGTGTTTACTCTAAAGGGATCCAGGGCCGAGTAGACACGAGGCCATTCTTTCTTGACAGACTGGGTTGCTGTGCCTACTGGAGGAGCCATCATGTATTTTGGCTTAATGACCTTCATGCTGGTTAAGGGGCTGAAGCTGCACGCTGTACTATCAATTGAATCGGTTGCTCTGGTTTTGCCCTTTAAGCTCCCACAGATCTTGGAGTGGATAAGCATGGGCTGAGGTATGGTGGACTGGACTCGGGGACTGTGTAAAGAGTTCTTCAAGTTGGGCTGCAGTTTCTGGATTTCAAGGGAAATACTGGTTTGTTTCACATCTATGGGAGGGTTGCTGGCTCTCAACCTATCAATTGCATGTTGTAATGAATTTCCTTTGAAACTAAGGACCTTCCTTGGGTATGAAATTGAAGGTTCCCAGGCATCAGTGATTTGGGTCTGGGGCCTACCGGGATAGGCAAACTTCCCTGAACTATGGGTTTGCTGCAGGGCACTAATAGTCAGAAGGAATCGGTCTGGTGACATGGGAATCTTCCAGGACTTTTTCTTTAGGTGACTGGTCAAGTCTCTAGCAGTTTTCAGTTGTCCTTGTTTTTCTACTTTCTCCAAGTCTCCAGGAGTTTTCAGTTGTCCTTGTGTTTTTACTTTCTCCATGTCATCTGATTAAAAGAAAAAAGAAAAGAAAAGAAAAAAAAAAAAAACAACAAAAAAACAAATCAGTGTTCCATGAAAAACATTAAGTACTTATGCATGAAAATTAAATCCGTTCTAACTGCTGTGCAAACTGACATCTTTGTTGCCCAATGAACATGCCAGCATGTGGGCAAAAATCCTCTAGACCAGAAATTATGACATATTCAATATAACGTCTTTAACAAATATGCTAGTACTTGTGTGTGTGTGTATTAACCTCTAGATATGCATATTTTGGTGGAAACATGTAATCCCAATGCTCTACCCATTTATAATTCAAATAGAATAGCCTTACAAATTCCTAGTAACATACCTCTGTTTTTAAAGAAAAGTTGAATGACAAAATTTGATTTCCACCTTATTAATCAAATTTGACTCCAAATGATCTTTCACCATTTTCTAAAATCAAAACTGCCTTCAAAAAATATGTCCCCCCTGGGAAATGCGGAATATCACAACATGACCAAAACTCAGTTACTGAACAGGCATTCCCAAAATGTTTTGAACAATAGCAGTGGGTCCAAAAGGACCAGAGATTCATTCTGGTCACTACATTATGGCCAAGACCTCCAAGGTGCCTAAGAACTTGTGTTAACAAGAATGTCTTCACAAGTGAGCAAATTTATTATATCAATACTCTTATATCTCATTTGGGCCTTTCAATCCCTACAATACCTCACGGATGCATTGAAAGCATTATTCCCATTTTACAAAAGGAATAACTGAGTCATGAAAAGTAGAAGTCATTTGTCTAGTCTAACCCAACAAGTAAAAGTCTGTACCCCAAACTAGCATCTAAAATTCTAGTCTATAACTAGTCTATAGCTAGCATCTAAAATTCAACCTTAAATTTTTTTGAGGTAACACTAGTGTTTTACATAGTGGCTGCACCAGTCTGCATTCCCACTAGGAGTGTACTAGAGTCCCCTTTTCTCCACACCCTCACCAACACTTGTTGTTTGATGATTTGTTGATGGCGGCCATTGTGACAGGTGTGAGGTGATACCTCATTGTTGTTTTAATTTGTATCTCTCTGATGATTAGTGATGTTGAGCATTTCTTCATGTCTCTTGGCCATTTGTATGCCCCATTTGGAGCCCTGTCTATTTAGCTCCTCTGCCCATTTTTTTTTTTAATTGGGTTCACTGTCTTCCTTTTGTGGGGTTGTATGAGCACTCTATATATTTTGGAAATTAACCCCTTATCTGATGTATCATTGGCTATTATGCTCTCCCATACAGAGGGTTCCCTTTCCATTCTGGTGGTTGTTTCTTTTGCTGTGCAGAAGCTTTTTAGTTTGATGTAGTCCCATGCGTTCATTTTCTCCTTTGTTTCTGTTGCCTTCGGTGATGTATCAGTACAAATTCTGTTGCTTATGATGCGCGAAATTTTGTTGCCTATATTTTCTTCTAGGATTTTTATGGATTCATGAGTCACATCTAAGTCTTTTATTCATTTTAAGTTTATTCTTGTGTATGGTGTAAGTTGATGATCTAGTTTCATTTTTTGCATGTAGCTGTCCAATTTTCCCAAGACCATTTATTAAAGAGGCTGTCTTTACTCCATTGTATGCTCTTGCCACCTTTGTCAAATATCAATTGAGCATAATGACTTGGGTCAGGTTCCTGGTTCTCTATTCTGTTCCACTGATCTATATGCCTATTCTTGTGCCAGTACCAGGCTGTTTTGATTATAGTAACTTTGTAATATAACCTCATATCCGGTATTGTGATCCCACCTACTTTGTCCTTCTTTTTCAAGATTGCTGTGGCTATTTGAGGTCTTTTTTGGTTCCATATGAACTTCTGAAGTATTTGTTCTAGTTCTGTGAAATATGTCATTGGTATTTTTGATGGGGATTGCATTGAATCTATAGATTGTTTTGGGTAATATGGACATTATAATGATGTTAATGCTTCCAACGCATGAACAAGGTATGTGCTTCCACTTTTTTATATCTTCCTCTATTTCTTTTTTCAGTGTCCTGTACTTTTTTGCAAATAGGTCCTTTACTTCTTTGGTTAAATTTATTCCTAGGTATCTTAATTTTTTTGCTGCAATGGTAAATGGGATTGTTTTTCTAATTACTCTTTCTATGAGTTCATCATTGCTGTATAAGAATGCCATCGATTTCTTGACGTTAATTTTGTATCTTGCTACTTTGCCAAATTCATTTATTTTTTTATTATTATTATTTTTTAATCCTCACCTGAGGACATTTTTCAATATTTTGTTCAGATAGAGTGGGAGGGAGAGAGAGAGAGAAACATTGACGTGAAAGGGACACATCGAGTGGTTGCCACCCACATGACCCAACCAGGGCCGGGGACAAACTGCAACCGAGGTACATGCCCTTAGCGGGAACCGAACCTGGGTCTCTCTGGACCGCAGGCCGGTGCTCTAACCACTGAGCAAAACCGGCCAGGGCACCAAATTCATTTATTAAGTTTAGTAGATTTCTGATGGAGTATTTAAGGTTTTCTATGTATAATATCATGTCATCTATGAATAATGACAGTTTCACTTCCTTCTGACTAATTTGGATCCCTTTTATTTTTTCTTCATGTCTGATTGCTGTGGCTAAGACTTCTAGTACTATGTTAAATAAGAGTGGCAGAAGTGGGCATCCTTGTCTTGTTGTGTTCTTAAGGGAAATGCTGTTGGGTTTTGCCCATTGAGTATGATGTTGGCTGTAGGTCTTTCATAGATGGCCTTTATTATGTCGAGATGTGATGCCTCTATTCCTAGATTGCTGAGCATTTTTATCAGAAATTGGTGCTGGATTTTGTTGAATGCTTTTTCAGAAACCATTGATATGATCATATGGTTTTTATCTTTCATTTTGTTTATGTGGTGTATCACATTTATTGATTTGCGAATATTGTTCCAGCCTTCCATCCCTGGGATGAATCCCACATGGTCATGGTGAATAATTTTTTTGATGTATTGCTGGATCTGATTTGCCAGTATTTTGTTAAGGATTTTGGCATGTATGTTTATCGGGGATATTGACCTATAGTTTCCTTTCTTTGTAGTGTCTTTTTCTGGTTTTGGAATTAGAATTATGCTGGCCTCATAAAATGAGTTTGGGAGTCTTCCTTCTTCTTGAATTTTTTTTAATAGGTTGAGGGGAATGGGTGTTAGCTCTTCTCTGAATGTTCTGTAAATCTCCCCTGTGAAGCCCTCCGAACCTGGGCTTTTGTTTGCTGGGAGAGTCTTGATTATATCTTCAATTTCCTTATTTGTTATTGGTCTGTTCAAGTTTTCTATCTCTTCCAGGTTCAGTTTTGGGAGACTGTGTGTTTCTAGAAATTTGTCCATTTTGCTTAGATTGTCTAATTTGTTGCCTTATAATTGTTCATAGTATTTTTAATGATTTTTTTTGTTTCTGTGATGTCAGTTGTTACTTCTCCTTTTTCATTTCTGAATTTGTGTATTTGGGTTCTCTCTTTTCGTTTCTTTGTGAGTCTAGTTAAGGGCCCATCGATCTTGTTTATATTTCGAAAAGCCAACTCTTTGTTTCATTGGTCCTTTGATTTTTTTTTTGGTCTCTATGTCATTTATTTCTTCTCTGATCTTTACTATTTCCTTCCTTCTACTTGCTCTGTGGTTTCCTTTTTGTTTGCTCTCTAGTTCTTTAAGTTGTGAGGTTAGATAGTCTATTAGAAATTTTTCTTGATTCTTGAGGTGGGCCTGTCGTGCCATGAACTTCCCTCTCAGAACTACTTTCACTGCATCCCATAGATTTTGTGTTGTGTATTCATTTTCATTGGTTTCCAGAAGTTTTTAATTTCTTCCTTGAACTCCTTGTTCAATAAAATGCTATTTAGCCTCCATGTGTTCAAACGTCTTTGCATGTTCTTCTTGCAATCGATTTTTAGTTGTATGCCATTGTGATCTGAGTAGATGCTTGATATGATTTCAATCTTCTTGAACTTGTAGAGACTTAGTTTGTGTCCTAACATGTGGTCTATCTTTGAGGATGTCCCATGTGCACTGAGAAGAATGTGAATTCTGCAGTTTTGGGGTATAATTCTCTGTAGATATCTATTAAATCTAGTGCTTCATTTAGAGTTTCTGTTTCCTTGTTAATTTTTTGCCTAGAGGATCTATCCAGTGATGTCAACAGGTTGTCGAAGTCCCCTGCCATGATTCTATTGTTGTTGATTTCTCCTTTGAAGTCCTCCAGAAGATTTTTGATATATTTTTATGCTCTTATGTTGGTGTACATATGTTTACCAAGGTTATATCTTCTTGTTGGATAGATCCTTTCAATATTATGTAGTGGTCTTCTTTGTCTCTAGTTATGGCCTTTATTTTGAAATCTAATTTATCAGATATGAGTATTGTGCCCCAGCTTTTTTTTTTTTTTTCCTTTCCGTTTGCTTGAAAGATTTTTCTCCATCTCTTCACTTTCAACCTATATTGAGTCTTTTTTTGTGGGGTGGGTCTCTTGTAAACAACATATATATTAGTCATGTTGTCTTATCCAGTCAGCTACTCTGTGTCTTTTTATGGGAGCATTCTATCCATTTACATTTAAGGTGATTATTGATATGTATTTATTTATTGCCATTTTTGTTTAGGTTGGTTATATTTTTCTTCCTATTTCTTCTACTAATTGCAGCATTCCTTTTAACATTTCTTGCAGTGCTGTTTTGGTGCTAATATATTCCCTTAGCCTTTTTTTGTCTGGGAAGCTCTTTATTTGACCTTCTATTTTGAATGATAGCCTTGCTGAGTAGAGTAGTCTTGGATTTAGATCCTTGTTTTTCATGACCTTAATTATTTCCTGCCACTCCCTTCTGGCCTGTAGCGTTTCTGGTGAGAAGTCAGCTGAGAGCCTTATGGGGTTCCTTTGTAGCTAACCTGTTGCTTATCTCTTGTTGCCTTTAGGATTCTCTCTATGTCTTTAGTTTTTGGCATTTTAATTACTGTGTGTCTTGGTGTGGGCCTGTTTGGGTTCTTCTTACTGGTGGCTCTCTGTGCTTCTTGAACTTGAATGCCTTCTTCCTTCACCAAGTTAGGAAAGTTTTCTGTCACTGTTTCTACAAATATATTGTCTAACCCTTGCTCATTTTCTTCTTATTTCGAGACTCCTATGATGCAAATATTATTACGTTTCCAGTTGTCCCACATTTCTCTGAAGCTGTCTTTCTGTTTTTTAATTGTTTTTTTCCTTTTAGTTTTCTGATTGGTTTCTTTTTTCTACCCTGTTTTCTAATCCACTGGTCCTCAACTTCCTCTACTCTGCTGTTTAGTCCTTCCAATATGTTCTTTATTTCTACTGTCTGTTTTCATTTCCAATTGGTTGATTTTCAATGTTTCTATATCTTTACTCATGGTGTTGATGTCCTTACTCATACTGTTGAGCTTCCTCAACATCATGACTTTGAACTCTACCTCTGCTAACTTGCTTAACTGCATTTTATTTATCTCATTTTCAGTCTTTTGTTCTTGAAAGGCATTTTTATCTTTATCAAAGTTTCTCAAAAACAACAAAGTAACATAATATTTGCAATGTCCAGTAACTCTTCTCAAAAGCTCCTTCTGTAACCCTCCCTCTTATCTTCTTATCTCATGTACATAGCACCCATCCCCTAATCTATCTCCTTCTTCATGAAATCTCCTACAGCGCCCTCTGAAATAAGCCACAACTGCTTCTTCTTCCTTCTGCACCCCATTACTCAGACTTATGACACAACAGTTCAAGCGTGAGGAGGCTGAATGGCAGGGAAGGGAGTCAGGCTGGGAGCTCAGCACTGGAAACCCGGCTCTTACAAAAGGTTTTCGCTCTGTGGCCTCAAGTCAATAAGGAGACAAGCTAATCACTCTTAGGAAAAGCTGGGAATTTTATCTATTCTGAATTCTCAAAAATAAGCAAAGTTATTGATTGTTGAAATACTACACTGAACAAAGTGAGCAAGAGAGAGAGTTGGATCTTGTCACTGATTCAAACTGTGGTATCAACATTCATCTTACCTCCTGTAAGGGAGTTTGCCTCCACATTGTCCTGCTCACCATTCAAGCTATTTGCTGCCTTAGAAACATGACTCACTCTCTTCTTGCCATCTCCATCTCTTCGGGGTGATTTTAGCTTTACTTGACTTTGAGATGCCTCTACTGATGCTGTTAAATTAAGATTGAGGAGAAAACCATAGTAATCACATAATTCAATTAAGTCTGAATAATGAAGGCATAGCTGATAATTTGACTGGATTTCTCCCAAACCTTCATCTTATTGTCATATGAAACTTGGTAGTCACCTGGAGCCTAAGGATGAGATCACCTCCCAACTCCCCTCCCATTGCTTTTTCTACTGATTATGAAGCACTGAGCATTATCTGAAACTCTCTGTCCTTTCTCCTAGCTGACCATTTGCAAAGTAATATGTTGGGAGGTGATCTATTGATCTGTGGGTCCAATTTCATATGCCAAATACAGGGCAAGTAAAAGAAAGGAGTCTGCCTACTCTAGCCCCCACACAACTTATTGTTTGTATGTTTTATAAATGGCATAAGTCATGCCTCTCCACCGCACACCTACGCACATACACACACACACACACACACATAGGTACCTGCTTGATAACTAATCTTTTCCAGGTATGCATGTTATCAGTCAGGGGTCTAGAGATAATATATTCTGCGTAGAATATTTTTCTGCAGTATAATAATATCTTGTCTGTCCTAAGAAAATAATTATGTACTGTATGTTTGGCTCAGAGGTGTGGGGAGAGGATATTGGTTGCTTGTTTTTTGCTTTAATGGCAAGTATTAAGGGCTAGTGTTAGCTGCTGTACAATGATTCTAATAAGACTGAACACTTAGGCCTCAAAAATCAGGAGGTTCCCTTGAGTTGGCTAACAAATTGGCGAATCAAAGAAACTTGCTCCCACCTTCCTTAAAGGTAGAGATTTATGTTATTAAGAAACTACTGGCAAAAATATCCCAGGAAGAAACTAGCCCCTGCAGCCCATCACCTGCTTCACTGGGTACCACTGGGATGGTCTGGGAGTCAATTCTCTTACATGTCAGTGTCCTAGATGCCTTCGGGAGGATGCGGGACCTGCGAGGTTTACTTAACAGGGACTCCTGGGCCAACATTTGTCTACTGGATATAGAGCCCGCCAGGCTGTAAACCAAAGTGCTGGCCTTGGAGAGGACTTCTGTGAGGCTTTCTTCCTTGTCCTCCTCTTTATCCTTGTTCTTCTTTGGTTTGGCCTGTTCCACGTAGTACTGCCACTTTATATTCTCAAACTGGAACATGAGAATATTGCTGTCTGTGTTGATCACCATCCTGGAACCAAAACAGTAAGATTGCCCACAAAAGGAGCATGGAGGCCATCATGGAGGCCACGCCCGGCATCCAGGTCTGCACAACTACTACCTCGTCCAATCCTAGAGCCAAGGGAAACTTCCCCAGGAAATGACTGTACCAGTAGGGTGTGTAGGTTGTTGAAGGGTCTAGAGTGGCCACAGGTAGCTGGCTGTGCAGCAGGGTTTATTAGCTCTGGAGCTGAATTTTGTTGTTGTTGTTAATTAAATATTTGGAGTTAAACTATCTGAAAAAGAATTTAAAAAAAAATGTTTTTTAATTTTTTGCCTTGGCTGGTTTGGCTCAACGTTTAGAGCGTCAGCCTGTGGACCAAAGAGTTGCGGGTACCATTCCAGTCAAGGGCACGTACCTTGGTTGTGGTTCGGTCCCCAGCCCTGGTTGGGGTCATGTGAGAGGCAACAAATAGATGTGTCTCTTTCTTGTTGATGTCTCTCTCTCCTATCTCTCCCCCCCACCCCTCCCAGCCCCTACCCTCCCACTCTATCTGAAGATAAATGGAAAAGTATCCTCAGGTGAGAATTATATATTAAAAAAAAAAACTTTAAATTTTAAAAGTATTTTTAAAAGAATTTCATTCTTGAAATGAGAGCCAAGCATCTAGAATGCCTGAGGCAAAAAACTTAGGTACTCTGCACATGGATGTCCTGAAATTCACTGTTGTTTTAAGCACAACATCCAAACACCATCTTTCTATTGCTGTGATGGGAATGTGGAAAACCCTTTAATGGGAGGGGCTCCCTCCTCGGGAACCCTCCAGCCCACTCCTCGGCACTCCATCACTCCAGGGCCCCTCTATGTGCTCTATGTAGATGGAACATTTGTACTGTATGAGGCAAATGTTCGGATGACGGATGCTTTCCGTCTTCCCTAGTCCCCACTTTAATGACCTGGTAGGAAAGGAGTTCCAAACCTGCCCCCACCCCCCAAGAACTGCCTTCCACCAACCCATTGCTTTCTGTTGTTCACAGAGCAAGCTGCATTCCCAACTCTGTGCCTAGATCTCCTATAACCATAAACAAGAAACTGAAATACTGTGTGTAGCTTCCTTTCTGCTCCAAAAGGCTGCAATTCTAAGACCTTAACCGTTAGTGGAAACTCTCTAAAAGAGTGACTTATTTTGGTTGAAAGCAATGAAATAAAATTTGGGGAATCATTCCAATTAGAAATCTCTCTGATATTTATTTTTACTCAAGCCAAAAGTAAACAATCTCTCTTCAGATTTCATGAATAAGAAAAAAGTCAGAAGTGATTTTTTAAAATATTATTACCTCATGTCTGAAAAGAGTTTATTTATTGAGACTTATTACCAGCCCTCCCTCTTTAAGATGAGAAATTGTATTAGTAAAGTTTCATTAAGGAGAAGGCAATATGATTCATGGAGATGAACTGATGTCTCAAGTGAGCCTGTGGGAGAATTTAAAAGTGAATTCTATTTGGGTATTTTCACATAATACCACCCTGAATGTGGCATATAACAAACACAGTACTACGTACAACTAGTTTGGTCCTGGTTCTGGTTTCTGTTAACCCACTGGATACTGAACCTCCTGCTCCTGCCATCTGCCACCCTCCTGTTCCTTGGGGCATCAGAGACAGCTCACGGAGCTCTTAGACAGCTGAATGCATGCTCAGGGAGCAAGTGGGGGCTGCACGTTTGCAGAACTGGGGTCCCTGCAGCTAAGCCATATTGCACTCAGTGCATGACTTGCCCAGACATTTAGACCAAATTAAGAGTGATATGAACCATGATTGCTAAGTTTGGTGTAAAGTCCACTTAGTTTTCCATGAGACTATGACTCTCCTTCAGCCTAAATTGGATGAAAGCCCAATTTTACCTACTCTTTCCTACTGCCAGAAAATCCAGGGCTGGTGCCCCAGAGGAGACAAAGATTTTGCATAAAGAAGTGTTCATAGCTCCAACCTCCACACCTACCACCCACCTGTTGCCCTGAATAAAGAAGGACAGCACAGGATCACCTCTGCCATTGGCTTTTATCACCTTCAGACAGTTCCCATTTAGGAAGTTGTAAATGCGGATCTTGCCATCTGCACAGGCACTGATGACCCGGAGGAAGAGAAGGGCCACGTGGAGCACCTCCCTGCAAGGGAACAAAGCAATAGGCAGTACCTGTCTTCTGGTAAACTGCTTGCGTGTTTTTGTAGTTCACGGTATTTTGTGGCTATAACTGTCCCTGAAATGATGTTTGCCATCATTTTATAATTCTGGATATAAATCATTAACCTGAGACCTGGCTGTACTCTGACCTCCCCTTCTGTGGTTATTTTTCCTGCAGTTTGGTCACAGTGCCACAAGGTGGCAAAGTACAAAGGCTTATGTCATGAATTTCTATGGGATCTGTTTTATATCCATATAAATATCATACTTTTCTCTTATAGTTTGCTTCCTAGCTATTGACTTCTACGAAAGGCCTACTGAGAATTATTTAATGTTTTGTTTTGTTTTTTATCCTCACTTGAGGATGTGTTTCCGTTGATTTTCAGAGAGAGAATAAAGGGGTTTGTAGGGGAGAGAAACATCAATGTGAGAAAGAAACATCGATTGGTTACCTCCCGTTCAAGCCCAACCAGGGATCAAACCTGAAACTTGTTATTGTATTTGATGACACTCCAACTGAGCCACCTGACCAGAGCAAATTATTTAATGTTTTGATTCCTTTTCAAATAGTATTATTAAATAAAGAAGAGAAGGGAATTAAAAATGATATCTCTATATGAAGCAAAAATCTGGTATTTGGGCAGTTTCTCTTAGGTCTTAAATTGGTACTTTTCATTCTACTTGTTAAACATCCTAAAGGAAAACTACCCAGGCATGAGATTTATCAGTTCCCTTTTGTATCAACCAGCAAGGAAAGAGAAAGGAGCTGGAGAACAGTTAGATGCCGCCAACAAAATCCTCCCTACAACAGCTGGTCCAAGTTGGACTCCAGTATGTGGAGTATTCAATTCTGAGAAGTGTAACTAGCCCATTCCTGTTAATGATACTGAAAAGTTGAATTTGATGCCTCCGATTTATTTGATTTTATGGGCAAAGAAAGCCCACCCATCCTTGTCATCGCTACCCATGTAAGTCCATTCATGGCCTATCTCATAAAGCCATCTCTGATCTCCATCTCCTCTGCATGCGCGCGCACACACACACAAGCACACACACAAACCTTAGGTATATGACGGATTCCTTTGTGTACAACCTATGTCTTATTCGTGTCTGCATGTCCTGCATAGGGCCTAGCCCATAACAGGTCCTCAATAAACATTTGTTGAAAAAGCGGATGTCGGCTCATGTTTCAGAGTATGATCATTGCTACAATGTGTTAAAAAAAAATGACATCCACCTCATACCATTTGGTGTGAGCCTTGGTCAGATCCAAGGGCCAGATTAAGACTTTTCAAGGCCCCAAGCACTAGCCAAACAGAAATAACAAAGAACTTAAAAGGTAGGAGCATGTTTAGTATATTTGAAGAACAGCAAAGAGGCCAATGTGAATTGAATCCCTCCTCATGTGATAGAGAGAGAGAGAGAGAGAGACAGAGAGAGAGAGAGACAGATAGATAGAAAGAAAGAATAAATTAAGTTTAAGAAAGTCCACCAGCCCGGCCGGTGTGGCTCAATGGTTGAGCATTGACCATAAACCAAGAGATCGCCAGTTCAATTCCCGATCAGGGCACATGCCCAGGTTGTGGGCCCGATCCCCAGTGGGGGGCATACAGGAGGCGGCCAGTTGGTATTCTTGCTCATTGATGTTTCTTTCTCTCTCTCTCTCTCCCTAAAAATCAATAAAGAAAAAAAATAATAAAATAAAATAAAAAAGCAATGTACAACAAAGTTCTAGGTATTTTCCAAGTGGAAATATACTAACTTTATTGGTGTCCTAAGTTCATGTTAGTCCACCAGTAGGGGAATCCAGCACTAAGGAAGATGCCTTGTGGTACAAATGTTTGCCTCTTTCTATATCTCTTTTGATGTAACTGAGCTGGGCCTGCACTTCCCATAGATTCCTTTGACATTTGGCAGTTCAGGCTATACCAGTGCAGCCTACTGATAAAAAGCATAGATTTTGGAATCAGAAAACTGGGATCAAAATCTTATTCTACCACTACTTACAGACAATATAACCTTGAGAATGTAACTTAACCTCTCAGTCTTCAGTTTTCTCTTCTGTGAAGAGGGGATAGTGATTTCTGCCTCAGAGAATTGCTGTCAGGATTAAATTAATGAAAGTATTTAAAAACCAGCCCAGGAAAAAGTTACTAGAGATGGCGGCGGGCAGGACCGGAGGAAGGGTGACTGTGAGTGTGTGAGTGGACGTGAAGGTGGACAACCAAACCTGAGCGGTGCAGAGACGCGGAGCAGAAGGTTCCTGTGCTGTGGACGGAGCAGCCGGCTACCTCCTAAGTGGCCCTTCAGGGAGCTTCTCCCTGTGCTGCAGGAAGGTTCCACCATTTTGGAAGATCCCAGGTCTTCCCGGGGAGGAGGCAGTGGGAGCAGCTAGGGCCCAGCAACCTGAGCCCACCAGCACACCTGGCACCATCAGACCAGTGGACACTCTGTGTCAACACAGACCAGTGTACAGTAGTGGAGCTCCCAAGGTGCCGGTCCCGGAAGCCTCAAACAGTCAGGAGCCCAGCACCATCCCCCACAGTAGCAGCCCTGTCAGAGTCTAGATATACCCCCAGCAACAGAGGCTGGGGAGCAGACATCCATCCCCAGGCAACAGAAGTGCAAACCAGTAGCTGAGACCCATCCCCAAAAACTACAGCAAAAGTTGAGCAGGAGCTGAGCCCCACGGGGCTGCAGCACTCCCCAGCCACCAGCTGCGGGACCTGGGGCTCCACAGAGGCCTGTGCAGTCCAGCAGTTCACAAGAGCAGTGGCAAGCCAGAGCCCGAGGTGGACTGGTGCGATCCAGCTGCCCGCCTGCGGGACCTTCAGGGAGCTAAAGCACCAGAGAGGCCTGTACAACCCAGCAGCCCATAACATAGACATAGAGCCAGGTCCCCAAAGGGACTGTGCAATCTAGTTACCCAAGGGACCTGCAGGGTGTGGGGGCACCAGAGAGGCCTGTGTGACCCAGCTGCACACAAGATAGACATAGAGGATGGGAAAATGGAGGTGGAGTGAATGGAAGCTACACAGACGATCTCCCAGGACCAAACAAGAATTACAACTAAAATAAAGACAAGTCCTTGAGGAAAGGCAACAGAAAAGCAGCAGGACAAGACTATAACCAGGGACACTGGTAGGATTTGCAGAGGCGCGAAAGGGTGGTGGGCTGGGTGCCCATGGACAGCAGCAGTCTTAGCTGTGAGCAGCGCCCTTGGGGAATAAAGACCAAGCCCGCTCCACTGCACAGAGAGCAGGGACAGAGAGCTAAAATAGACACAGCCACTCACCTGAGGACTATGGCAGAGGGAGGGCAGACTGGGCTGGAACTCTGTGGGGACACCTGAGGTTTGGTGGGCACTCAGAGTTTTTGCTGAGTTGTGGCCACAAAGCACTGTGGCCATTGTGCTCATTCCCAGAGCTGTGGGGAAAAGCAGCAGCCCCCCCCCCCCCGAGATTCAGCCTTTTCCAGGTGAGGCAAAAAAATGCAAACTGGGGCTCATTAACAACCAGCATCTATCCCACCCTCTGGAAATCCTCTTATGCAGAACACCAGGGCTTCATTCCAAGGCACTGAGTAACTGAGACAGCTAGCCTCCAGGAAAAAGCTAGAGGATAACTGAACCTTTCCTGGGCTTGCAAATCTACCCAGAAAAGTAACACATGACAGTGGTGTTTAAGGTGGGCCCACTCAGGTTCATCCCGTCTCTCTGTCCCGGCTCTTCCAAAATGGTGGGACCTCCCTGCAGCACAGGGAGAAGCGCCCTGAAGGGCCGCTTAGGGAGGTAGCCGGCTGCTCCGTCCACAGCACAGGAACCTTCTGCTCTGCGGCTCTGCACTGCTCGGGTTTGGTCGTCCACCTTCACGTCCACTCACACTCTCACACACTCACCCTCCCTCTGGTCCTGCCCGCTGCCATCTTCCTGACTGTCATCTGTAGCTTTGTTTTATAACTCTTTTTTTCTATCTCATTTAAAAGGCAGCTGCTTAAAGCAATAATAACAAGTCTATGCTGATGGATACACAGGACATAAAGACATAATTTCTAATAATAATGAGCAAGCAGAACAGAAACAAACTCATAGATACAGAGAACTTTTTGTTGCTTGCCAGTTGGGTGGGGGCTTGGGGGATGGGTGAAAATGATGAAGGAATGAAGAAGATGAACCTCAAAGGGAAAGGGGGAGGGAGGGGGAGATGAGATAAACCAGAGAACTTCTATGCATATATCTATAACCAGTGGAAGGCAGGAGGGGGCAGGAACGGGGAGGAGGGGGTCAATGAGGAAGAAAGGGAGAAACATTTGTACTACATTCAACAATAAAGATGAGTTAAATAAAATAAAATAAAGTAAAATAAAAGAGTATAAAGGAGAGGAGCAAATTTTTTGTATACTATTGAAATTAGGTTATTATTAATGTGAACTAGATTATTATAAATTAAGATGTTAGATGTAATCTCCAGGGCAACTACTAAGACAGTATCTCAAAATAGATAGTAAAAAAAGAAAAAGGAATTAACATACTAGAAAATATCCTTTTAAGACCAAAGACCATAATAGAAAATTGAGGAACAAAAAAATACAGAGGACTGTAGAAAACAGATAGCAAATGGCAAAATAAGTTATTTTTACATTCAATGTAAACAGATCTCTTTAAATAAAAGGCAGAAATTGGAAGAAAACATTAAAAACAACATGATTCAACTATATGTTGTCTACAAGAGACTCACTTTAGAATGAAAAGCACACAAAGGTTAAAAGTAAAAGAATAGAAAAAGATAATCCATACCAAAAAAAGAAGTGGAATGGCTATACTAATATCACACAAAGTAGACTTGAAGACAAAATTGTTAATGAGACAAAAAGGACATTATATAATGACAAAAGGGTGAATTCATCAAGAAGATATAACAATTATAAATGCATATTTACCTAACTACAGTACCCCAAAATACATGAGGCAAAACTCACATAATTGAAGGGAGAAATAGACAACTCAATAATCATAGATGAAGACTTCAATACCACACTTGAAATAATGGTTTGATCCACTAGACAGAAGTTAGGCCAAGAAATAGACCTGAAAAACATTAGAAACCAACTAGACTGAACAGACATGTGTAAAACATTCCACCAAATACCAGGAGAGTACATATCCATCTCAAGAGCACATAGAATTTTCTCTAGGATAGGCCTTATGTTAGTCCACGTAACACATCTCAATAAATTTTGAAAGACTGAAATCATACAAAGTTCTCTAACCACAACAAATTAAATTAGAAATGAGTAACAGAAGGAAACATGGAAATTTTTCTCATAGGAAAACTTATAGCAGTAGATGCCGATCTATAACCTAACTTTCACCTTAAAAAACTAGAAGGTCACACTAAACTCAAACCAAGGAGACGGAAGGAGATAAGGCTTGGAGCAGAAACCAGTGAATTAGAGAAGTGAAAAGCAATAGAGAAAAATCAGTGAAACCAAAAGTTGGTTCCTTGAAATGATGAACAAACCTATAGCTAGACAATTGACAATTATTTACTTAGACTGACCAAGAAAATAAGAGGGAAAACTAAAATAGGAAATGAAACAGAGGACATTACTATTGACTGATGGAAATGTTCTCTAATTATATAGAGGTGATGGTTGTATAACATTATGAATATACTAAAAATCATTGAATTGTACACTATGACTTTTATGTTATGTGAATTATATCTTAATTTAAAATTGAAAAATATATTATTATAATACTAGCTGTGGAGCTGTGGAGAAGATATTAAAGAATAAAGGTTTTGTGTTTCTTTTTTTTTTTTTTTTTTTTTTAAGATACCACAGAGTACAAACCTTTTCTAGGGATCATCATTCCTGTCAGCCCTACTTTGTATCCTCTAATTTTATTTCTCACATTCATGGTTTCCCACACTATATGCTTAATCTTAATTTTGGATGAAAAATGTTGGATTGAGAGAACAGACAGCAACTGCATCTGTTTTTTCACCTCTGTCACATTCAAAAAAATGAATTCAATCATTATAACAACTATTCAGAAAGACGATCTGTCAAATTAGTCCTTGTTAAAAATCAGGAAATACTTATTGAGTATTTACATATACATAGCACTACAACAGATGAGCAGGATAAGGGCCCTTGGCCCTATAGACAAGAGCATTGACCGTGTCCTCCAGCTGTCTGTTGATTCACTGACTATGCAAGGGATGGAGAACCAATGTAAATGGTATGTTGGGGCTGTCATTCGATGGGAGGCGGAGTGGGAGGCTCGTGGATTGGTGGAATAGTGACCAAACTTGCTGGGTTTGCCGGGAACAAATTATTTTCCAATACTCAAACTAAATCCTACTGAATTGTGCTTGGAAGGTTTCAAAGACATATAGTTATAATTCTCAGATGACGTCATAAGGTTTGACTCTCTCTGTGGGGTCCAGGTTTGATCATCCAAATGACATGCTGAGAGAGTTGCTGACAGTCACCTAAGGGTTGGATACATCACTGAACACAGGCCCTTCCCAGCACCCAGTCATCAATAGTGCATCACACACCACAGACAGAGAACATACACATGTATACCCAGATCCCCTTCCACCTCTCACCAAGCCTGTGTGTCTGCTCAAGTTTTTTGAGGGTGTAAGGAAATTTAGGGTTGTATTTTAATAAATAGGTACCCCCTGAGATATGCTCCTGGAAGATGCATGTATTGTTTTAATCAACTGGGATAGTATTTCATTCTTTGGAATTGTTTGTTTTGCACTCAGAGGAAGAAGAATTATTCATGTAGCACAGGAGTGGCACAGAGCAGCCTGTGTAAGCTATGGCCACGACAAAACTATTAACTGACCACAATACCCTTTCTAGACAAGCCCAGCTGTGACCTCAGACTTCTCAAATGGCTCCAAGCAGCCACCACCACTAAATCGGGATTGGAATTATACAATGAAATCCATTTGCTGTCCTGGAATAGAATTAGCCCACAGACTTTAGGTAAAGCTCCTTCCTAAAGCCCTCAGTTTTTTGTTTGTTTGTTTGTTTTTTCAATTACAGTTGACATTTAATGTTATGTTTCATTAGTTTCAGGTGTACAGCATGGTGGATAGACATTTATATAATTTAAGAAGTGATCTCCCAATAAGGCTAGTACTCACCTGGCACCATCTACAGCTATTACAATGTTACCGACTATATTCCCTATGCTGTACTTTACACCCCCTGACTATTCTGTAACCACCAATCTGTCCTTCTTACCCCCTTTACCCTTTGTACCCAGCCTGCTCCCTCCTCCCACCTGGTAGCTGTCAGTTTCCATGAGTCTGTTTCTGTTTGTTTGTTTATTTATACTGCTCTTTAGATTCCACATATAAGTGAAGTGAGTCTGTGAACACACGCTTCCTGGGGTAAAAGCCAATTCCAAGAATTAAATTTACTGGAATTGGTATTATTGGGGACAGTTCTGCCAATATTCATGCATTTAGTAGATAAGTATATCACGAGTGTCCTAAGTATACCTTTTCAAACATTTCTCCAAATCCATGTCTAGTATTGTTATTTCTGGGGGAAACGAGGGAGGGCAGGCGACAGACCGGCCGAACGGAGGGTGGCCGGGGAGATGGGTAACAGCAAAGGGGGAAGAAAAGGAAATGGTCCAGGAGCAGAGGGGACAAAGGGTCAGCAGACAGCAGGAGGGAGTAAGCTGCCCCGAATCCAGGTCTAGTCTGACCGAAAAGAGGGGAGCACCACGTTCTTCAGAACAGCCTTTCCCCCTGGGCACATACTTGGGATGCTTGTAGGCCATGAGGCATCGCTCATACTTTCCCACCATGCTCCAGGCCATGACCAGGCCGTCAGCGCTCCCCGACAGGAGATGCCACTCGTCAAAGCACAGGCACTTCACAGCTCCCTCGTGGCCGTTGAGAGTCTGAAAGGGAAGTTGCCTCTGTTTTCAGTCCATCTTCAGCTAAGACTGTGACTCCACCAAGGGCCAAAGCCAGGAGCTTCTTTCGATAAATTCCAGAGCTACTTTCCACCCTTCCATGACTGCCCCTCACTTGGAATTTAACTAGCCGGCTTTACTTTTGCACTAAGGAGGCCGGTAGAGTCCGTGTCTCGCCCTCTCCAGAGCTCCCTCTCCAGGGAAGGGAGAATGTCATCAGGGAGGGGCCTTGCTCCTGGTGGGTCTGTGGCTGAGGCAGGCTCCACATTCCTGAAGTACCAGAGGAGAAGGGTCAGAGGTCCCATCCCCAGCTCCTTACTGGGACCCAGTGGGCACTGGGGCATCCGTGTGCCTGCAAACGCTGACTAGACCATAATGACAAAAAGACCAGTGGTCAAAATCTCTACCAGCCGGGCCAGCAGCTTCTGACTGTGCTCCTGTGCTCCTGGCGTAAATGATCTCTCACCACCACCCACAAGGGCCAGGGGCTTCAAATCCAGCAAGAACGTTTTGTGTATTTGAACATTCAATCCCTTTCCATACAGCCAATGTTCTCATCAGAGAGTAAGAAGAAAACCCACTGTGACTTTATTCATTCCCTTTTCCATGCCAGAATCGGGGTAGAATACTCTGGAAAAAGAAAAGGTACTTTATCTCTACTGCTGTAAAAATATCCTGAGCCCATATATAATGTTGAGTCAGCATGCAGCTTCCGCTACCACCCTCATGACAACATGGGTCACATGGGCCCTGGCCCCCCACCAACATGCAAGGGCCCACTTTTGGGAGACCTTCCCTTTCAGCTCTTTAGGATTGCCCTTTTGGTGACTGTAATTTCATTGTTCCAGGGTGGTCTAGGGAGCTACATGGGGGGGAGACCATCCGTCTCCTCCAATCCATCACCACAGGTACCCCATTCCCTCCACAGCTCACTGCCCTCACCTTCACCAGCTGAGCCATGACAATGTGCCACACTTTGACTGTCCCTCGCTCACAGCTGCTCACAATGTAGGTGTCGTTGATCCTGGTGGCCAAAATGGGGTCTTTGTGTTTGAACGTCTTTAGGCACTTCCCTGTCTCTATATCCCACTCTGAAAGGGAGGACAGAGAAGGGGGGGGAAGGAGGAATGAAGGCAGGTTACAGTGGAGTTCCACATCCCATCACGGAAGTTAAGACTGGTGGAGCTCATCGAGTCAGACCCCAGAAGGCCTTAGTCTGGCCCAGCACCCCTGCAGGCTCACCAACAGCTCCATGTACCTGCAACACAGAGCTCCCTGATCATGGACCGCTGGGAGAGCCAGCAATGCTTAGACCTCAGCTCTAACTCAGGAACTTAGCCTTGGGGTCCAAGTGCTGGACAGCTCATCTCCAATGAGACTCCTCCAGCCTGGAAAATGCTTGCTGTAGAGATGTCAGGAAAATCACGGCGTGTTATTCTTCCCAGATGCTATTCTCTTGATCCACACTTTCCGTTCCCAGAGAAAAGAAAGCTGTCTCTTTTCATTTACATTTTTAAATATTCCTGAATCTGACTTGGATTTTACTAATTGAGAGATTATCACAGCTGAGGGCAGGTTTGATGCTGCTTCTATATAGATGATACTAGAGTAACAGCCTGGTAGGGTACTATAAGTTGGGTGGATATGAAAGTAAATGTGAGTGGGAGAACAGAGCTTAAAGGCAAAAATTGAAAGTGGGTACCATGAGTTCAGGGATGAGAACATTAAAGTCAGCTTCATCAACCCCCAAAGTACCTCCCAGGCAACAGAACGTATAACCTAAGACAAAATAACTGCAGCTGATACTTATATAGCAGTAATTATGAGCCAGGCATCATTCAAAGAGCTTGACATGTAATATCTCAAGTACTACTATTATTCCCCACTATACAGATGAGGAAGCTGAGGCACAGAGAGGTTTGGCAACCTGCTCAAGATCACGCAGATTGGAAAATTAAGCTGGGATTTGAACCCAGGGATTCTAGAACCAGGAGCTATGCTCTTAATCATGTTTATACCAGATTAACTTTAACTATGTTTTTTTAAACATATATATTGACCCCTTTATCAAATTAGATATGTGAAATTTGAAAGATGAATTAAAATATTTATTGGTAAAGGGCCCTGATTTAAAGAATTTTAAAAGTGCAGAGTTACCTTTCAGGTCTCCAATTGTCTCTTTTTTCTCTATTTTGGTAACCCAGGCAGGTAGGAAGAGCCCAGGAGAAGCAGGCAGGCTGGTGGCCAGGGCCAGGGTTAGGGTAAGAGAGATCTTTTGATATTGTTTTCATGATGTGCATTAATTTTGACTTTTTAAATACTGCATTAAAATGTGTATCTTGATTCCTGAGGTTTTGGAGGGTTTTTTTGGTGCCTGCTTAAGTTTTACACCTGGGGTGAGGGTCTAACTCCCCTTGCCCTAGTTCTAGCCCTGCCTGTGGTCCCACAAGACTCAAGCTTGGGGCCTTGTCTGCCCTTCCATCTTCAGACCCTCACCCTTTCACCCTTTCTGCTCTTCTCCTCAAAGCGATCGTGGCAACGAGACTTTCATTCAGGTCCAGAAGGGCAAAGAGGTCGGGAGTATCTTAAGCAGGTCTGAGGGTTTGCTTATGCAAAACCATTCTGTTCTCCCTTTTCCATATCTTTTTCTCCATCTACCCCTAACATCCTTGGTCCCTTGCTTCTCTCCTCTAGATTCTTTCCTCCGGATTTGCAGGGGAAATCTCACCCATACCTGGGGCTTCCATCTTTTCTCACAGTTGATAACCACCAAATCGGCATACCTGGAGCTCCAGACTGGTATAGTCACACCTGCATCTTCCTACTTCAATTCTCACCTGGAGATCCTCAGGAATCCCACAGTCAGTTTATTAGCTTTCTATTGCTGCTGTAACAAATTCCCACAAGTTTAGATGCTAAAAGCAACATGACATTATTATTTTACAGAAATTCGATGTGACCTCAAAAGTCTAAGATTAAGGTGTCAACAGTGCTGTGTTCCTTTATGGAGACTCTGGGGGAGGGGATCCACTTCCTTGCCTTTTCCACCATATAGGGGTCACCCACACTCCTTGATTATGGCCCCTTTCCTTCATCTTCAAGCCAGAAACGCTGCATCTCTCTGAACGTTCTTCCATAGTCACATCTCCTTTGGATCACAGACAGAAAAGTTCGTTTATAAGGATCCATGTGATCCCCCATAGGCCCTCATTGAAAACCCAGGATACTTTCTCCATTTTAAAGCCCTTCATTGAAGCACATCCACAAAGTCCCTTTTGTCCTGCAAGGTAACATAGTCATAGGTTCCAGGGATTAAGACAGGAATATCTTTGGTTGGTCATTATTCTGCCTGCCACATTCAAAATGTCCAAAAACTGAAGCCATCACCCCCTCCTCCGTTCCTCACTCCACCCACTATTCCCCTGTAGTCTTATTTACATTAATGGCACTTCTACTTCCATATCCCCAGTGGCCTGCATTTAAAAGTCTGGCCTCATCATTTCCCCTTCTATCTTTCTCACTTTTCATATCCAAATGGTGGTAAAGTCCTGCCAATTCTCCCTTGAGAAATCTCCCTTCAGTGAGCCTATGCCATTGAATGTAAACGTGCATCCATCTGAGTTTCTTCACACTTGCCTGTTATTTTATGGTATAAAAACACCACAGTTCCCTAGACCGAGTAGTGTCTTACTTTGTCCCCTGTCTCCGCAGTCACCACTCTTCAGGTCCTTCTTCCAACACTATCACTAGAGTTATCTTTCTCAAAACCACATTTCATCATGTCGATCCTCAGCTTAAGATGCATTTATAGCTTCCCATGTTCTTTAGGATAAAGTTTAGTTTCCTACCATGATGCAGAAGGACCTTGATAATCTGGCCACAAACAAATTTAGCAGCCTTATCTTCCACACTACACCCAGCCATACCAAGCAAGAGGAAATTCCCTGAATACTCCGTTTTCTTCGACCTTCTGTGAATTTGCCTGTGCTGTTCCTTCTGCTTGGAATGTCCTCCACTCTCCCTCTGCCTGCAGAACTACTCATCTGCAGGACCACACTCAAATAGCATCCTGTCTGCCCTGCTCTCCCTCTTGCTCTTACTTCTGTGGTTCCCTAAAACTCTGCATGTTGGTTAGGAGGGTGTGCTTTAGAGTCAGACACTCTACCACTTAGCAGCTTTAATTTAGGGCAAATTGTTTTTCTCTCTGAGTTTGCATTCCTCATCTGTATCCACCTCATAGTCTTCTTATGAGGGTTAAAGAAGATAATATACGTATAGCACCTACCACAGTCAAAAAGTCAGTACTCAATAAATGGCAGTTGTTGTTATTCACATATTTATCATAACACCCATTATAATATTTATATATCTATTTTCATTAGGAGATGATGAGCCGGTTGAAGAAATAAAAAGCCATATTGATAGAGCCATATCATACTCATTTATTACCTTAACACCTAGCACTGTGTCCAGCGTATTGTGTGTATTCACCCAATAGTTGTCAAAGAAATAGATCAATATATAGATGGGTGGATGGATGCATGAAAGAATAAATGACTTTACATGGAAATAAGCAAAATATGTATTTTGGCAACCCGTGGATTTGGGGAAACTTCCCAGAAAGTTTAGAGCATTTCTTTCTCACCTTTGACCTGGCAATCTTTTGCTCCAGATACAAGCATGTTCTTATATACATCCATGCAAGTGACTGTCCCTTGGTGGCCATTGAAGATTCGTATGCAATTACCACTTTTCAGATCCCAGTATCTGCAGTAATTAGGCAAAAAAAAAAAAAAAAATGGTTTTGAGATTTTCTTAGGGCTCAAGGGATCATAGTGTATAAAATTTCTGTGGGTCAAGAAGTAGTTGGAAAGCGGAAAATTTCCTGATTAGGCTCAAAGGCCTGGAATTGAATCTCAGTTGTAACATCTATTAGGTATAACTTTGTGAAAGTAACTTAATTTCTGTGTAAGCTTCATTTCCTGAGTGACAAAATAGAAATGATAATATTAGTAGTGACCACGTAGGATGTTTATGAATTAAAACACAAATGCAGTGTTGTCAACCCAAAGTGATTTCCACCCTCAGGGAACATATGACAATGTCTGAAGACAGCTCTGATTGTCACAAATGGGGATGGGGTATTACTGGTATCTGTTGTGTAGAGTTCAAGGATGCTATTAAGCATCCTACAATGTACAGAACTGTCACCACAGAAAGAATTTTCCAGCCCTAAATGTCAATAGTGCTGAAGATGAGAAACCCTGCATTAAGGGATGTAACATTAGAACAGTGACCAACATGTAGAAAAAGCTCAATAAATGTTAGTTGGTATTAAATGGGAGGGTCCCTGGAATGACCCGGTCACCAGGTCTAGAATTTGCGGCACTGATTCAGTGGTAGAGCTGATCTTTAAACAAGAACAGAACAATTTATTACAGCCACTCAGATCCAAAGTATTTTATGTACATTTCTGAAGCTTATCTAAGAGACATATGGAAACATGTATGAGTCACACTTTTTTAACAAACAGACTTGCCTGAGGTCCCATAACTATCATTATTACAGATTTCCACTTCAGCCAGATTGATTCTGTGACAGGGCAAAGTGAAATATTTAGATAGTAGACTCTGAAGCCAGGATGCATGAGGTCCCATCTCAGGTCCATAACTTACTAGCTGTGTGAACTTGGATAAGTTATTGAACCACTCTATACCTGTGTTCTCATCTGTAAACTGGGAATGATAATGTATTTGCCTCATACAGTTATTATTAGATTTGGCACATAACGAATGATTAATAATACATAATAATTAATAATAACACATTATTTGAATATGTTAAGCTTTTTCTTCTAATATTCCCAAATGTCCTGTGGCCTTGCCTGTTTGTCAGAGCCTACTGTGCACCCACAGCATGCTTAACAATGTCCCAGGAGTCTGAAAAAGCATGTTTTGAATTTCTGTTTCCAGCAACATGGCTGGCCATGTGTCCAGGTTGTTTTCTAAATTTATTCAGAAAATGTATTTGATAAACACTTGTAGAGTAATAGGAATAGAAGAACATTCCTTGATTTAGTAAACTTATAAACCAAACTCATAACAGCAAGTATGATGCTTAATATAGAAACTACAGATGTACTCCCTTCAAAAAGGAGAACAAGGTACAGATGCCTGCTCTCACTGCTACTGCTTAACTGGAAGGCCTTGGCAAGTTAGAATGAAAGCACAAGAAAAGATTAGTATAGTTATTGGGAAAGAAGATAACATATTGTCATTGTTTCCAGTTGATAAGATCATCTAAATAGATAAACCAAATCAACACACCTACTTTTAGAATAAATAAGAGACATTATCCCTGGCCAGTTTTGCTCAGTGGTTAGAGCATCAGCCCACGGACCAGAAAGTCCTGGGTTCAGTTCCCGCTAAGGGCATGTACCTCGGTTGTAATTTGTCCCCGGCCCCAATTGGGGTCGTGTGGGTGGCAACCACTTGATGTGTCTCTCTCACGTCGATGTTTCTCTCTCTCTCTCTCTTCCTCTCTCTCTCCCTCCCACTCTATATGAGGATAAATGCAAAAATGTCTTCATGTGAGGATAAAAAAATAAAATAAATAAGAGACATTAGCAGGTTGCTGGATATAAAACCAAACTAGAAAAATCTATATCATTTTTCCATACCAGTAATAAAGTACCATTTATAATAACAAAGTATAAAATGTTTAGGTATTAAATAAAAATACAAAAGATTTTGACCCGGCCCGCAGGTTGAGCAACGAGGACTCTAGAGGGGGAGTGAGGATGAGGAGGGACAAGAGACACTAGAAATGGAGACAAGACAGGGCTCTGATCAAGTCTCGTTTATTCTGGGGAGATCCACAGTATATATAGGGCAAGAAGCAGAAAAACAAGAACATTTGTTGCCAAGCCATGTTTGTGGTAACCACCCCTAAGCTATTTCAGGTAAATATCATGTAAATATCCCGGTGGAACAAAAGATAAACAGAGCATAACTGGCTGAGTAAATGGTTACTGAAAGGAATGCAGAAACATTGTATACAGAGGTATCCTGCCTTGGGGCAGGAGATGGCAGAGCGGATTTTAGCAAAATGGATGCCATGCAAACCGTCTCCCACAAGATTTTTTAAAAAATTAAAGTTCTAAAAACAAAGAAATGAAAGTATTGTACAAATTACTCTATAAATTCACTGCAACCCCAATTTGGTCTAGTTAGGTTTTTTAAAGCCAATGAACTTATTCTAAAAGCTCAAAAAATATATATGGTAGCTAAGCTATATATTTAAAAATATAATATGAAAATACTATCTAAATGCATAGTGATAAACAAAAATTTAAGAAATACAAGAAAAGATTAGTATAATTATTGGGAAAGAATTATTCCCAATAATTATAGAAAGGCTGGATGGACCCAATCACAATCCCAGCAAACTATTTAGTGGATACAAATGAACTTATTTTAAAATGTATATGGAGAGGCATAAGACCCAGTATACCCAACACAATATCAAAAGAAAGAAACAAAGTTGGAGAGCTGACACTATACAACTTCAAGACTCACTATAAAGCATCTTCTGGTCAAGATAGTGGAGTAAGTAAATGTGGTACTTCCATCCTTCCATAAGCACATCAAAATTACAACTAAAGTACAGAACAACCACCATTTACAATGGCCTGAAATCCAGCTGAACAGAAGTCCTATGAGAATATAAAGAAGAAGCTATATCCAGACTGATACTAAACCCACATATGATAGTCTCTGCAGGAGAAGCCAGGGGTCCCACCCCACACCAGGCCCCCCAGCCCAAGATTCCAGTGACCAAACGACAGGTCCCCATAACTTCTGTCTGTAAAACCCAGTAGGGATCATGGCTGAATGAGATGGAGGGCTTCTAGAGTCCCAGGAGTTCTTCTTAAAGGGCCTGTGCACAAACTTTCTTGGTTTCACATGCTCTGAGCTCCAACACTGGGGCAGGAGGGCCAAAAGGGTCCAGGGCCATTCAGGAAGGAACTGAATTGTCTACCATCAGGGTGAGGGCTGGAGGGGCAGCTCTCTCCCAGACATAAGTACTGGCAGAGGCCATTGTTCCTTTGCTAAGCCTTCACCCCACAAAGCTGGCAAGTGGCACCATATCTGAGTCTCCTTCAAACTGGCAGACAGTGCTCACCCTGCCCTGGTGATTCCTTAAAACCCTGCAACACCCATCTTGTAGACCCACCCAACCCATTTCCAGGGTTTTTCCATACAAATGTCCCATCTTAGCTTATTCTGTGGACTTTCCTAAAATCTCTCAAACAAGAAGCATCTGAACTCGGTGTCCCTTGCTAAGTGGCCCCAGGCCTGGCGGTAGCAGTAGCTGGCCTTGGTTCTCAGCTTTTCCTCTCCTAAGCACCTCCAAGAACAGCACCAGTAGCAGCCATATTCACATCACATTGTCGCTCATGTGGAGTGGTCCTGGACAGGGCACAGCCATCAGTTGACCTTGGCCAGCACCTCCCAGGAGGCCTCAAATCCAGTGAACCTGGAGGTCGACTCCAGAGCACACATAAGCATCAACCAACTACTTCTACAGGGAATACACTCAAGGGGAGTACTCACTGCTGAATAGAGTCTTGCTTCAAGGGGTTGGCCCCTGCACAGCAGATTCTCCATAGTCATGGCCAGTCCTGGCAGTTGAGTGGGCGGGGGGTTAATTCCTTAGTTTAGGTGCTAATAGCAATCAAGACTCAATTACAACAGGAAGGGGCACACAACCCACATGGAGGGCACACCTGGAGCAGCACCCAGCTCAGGTGACCAAGCAGATGGTGCCACTGGGCCCTACAGGATACCTACTACATAAGGCCTCTCTACCAAGACAGGGAGACATAGCAAGTCTACCTAATACATAGAAACAAACACAGGGAGGCAGCCAAAGTGAGAAAACGATATACATGTCCTAAATTAAAGAATAGGACAAAACTCCAGAATAAGAACTAAACAAAATGGAGTCACACAATGTACTTGATGCAGAGTTCAAACTACTGGATACAAGGATACTCAAAGAAAGAAGGGGAAGAGTAGATGAACTTAGTGAGAATTTCAATAAAGAAATAGAAAAAATAAAAATGGAAATAGAAAACATAAAAAATAACCAGTCAGAAATGAAGAATACAATAACTAAAATGAAGAATATATTACAGGCCCTTGCCGGTTTTGCTCAGTGATTAGAGCATCGGCCTGCGGTCCAGAAAGACCCAGGTTCAGTTCCCGCTAAGGGTGCGTACGTCGACTGAGGTTTGTCCCCAGCCCTGGTTGGTCATGCAGGTGGCAGCCACTCGATGTGTTCCTTTCACATCGATGTTTCTCTCTCTTCTTCTCTCTCCCTCCCACTCTATCTGAACAAAAAATGGAAAAAAAATGTCCTCACGTAAGGATAAAAAAAAACAAAAACAAGAATATATTACAGGGGTCCTGGCCAGTTTGGCTTAGGAGTTAGAGTGTCACCCTGCAGACTAAACGGTTGCAGTTTCAATTCCTGGTCAAGGGCATGTAACCAGCTGAACAGAAGTTGCAGGTTCAATTCCTAGCCCTGGTTGGGGTCATATGGGAGGCAACAAATCAATGTGTCTCTTTTGCATTGATGTTTCTCTCTCTCCCTCTCACTCTATCTGAAGATAAATGTAAAAATACCCTTGGATGAGGATTGAAAAAAAAAAGAACCACATATTGGTAGTTACAAAATAGTCATGGGGATGTGAAATAAAGCAT